CAATTCCATTTGGGTTCGTTATATTCACTTACTCGCAAATACCATTCGGAAAGTTATTAATCCACCTCTTCTCCCCATCTATGGGTTAATTAGTGATACTTGTATCACTAAATCATTATCTTTACCGCAAAAAAAAACTTTTACAATCTAAAATTATTTAAATAATCTGCAATGGGTTGATAAGCCGTAGAAAATGAATCAATCAACAATTCACCCTGATGTTCGATAACACACACTAAGGAGCCGAAGATCTGTTTTCAAAAATCTACGTATGGTAATGTCCTTTAATTTTTTTTCTTTTCAAATATACAAGACATACATACGAGCAATTTTATTGTCATCAGCTTTGCGGATTACTATGATGAAAAAGAATAACTAATATATTCACTCGTCTAAGATTTTGTTTTGTTTACCATCGGGACATGCCAGGGACGAGTCGGTGATCAAAAAGGCGAGAGATGCAGTTGGATTGGTGAGTTTCCCAAAAGAACTAGTGTGAAATATATCGGTCCCAACCAAAATTCGGATTTAGTTCGCAGATTCCGTTTTCAAAGTACCTAAATATGACTTCACCTCGCATTTTCGGTTAAAACAAAATACGTAGCAATCAATTGTTCATTTTCTATCTCCGTGTTTAATCTCTACACTCGTATAGTTCTTTGATATTTTTCTATTTATTTTATTCTACTGGGACAATTATGGCCAAAGTATTACAAGTTGAGTGACATTTAAATTAATGTTTGGTACAAAGGAAAACAACATAGTGTTTCCATTGACTCGATAATTAAAAAAGAATCCGAACAAGTCATAAAGCATAAGTCATTCCGAATTCTCTGTTCGATGTCATAAATCGATATTGCTGCCATTAATACTATTTAATTGAATGGGAAAGAACGGCTTCTAATTCTTTCAATTTTTCATTTATATCCTATATCAGTCGCAAGTAAAAGTAACTGCCAATAAAACTTTTATATTCTTTTTAATTAATCTCAATTAGATTTTCTACTTCTGAATGAGACCCTTTGGTCTGGAAAATCGGTGTCGAAGCTAGAAAGGAACTAGAAAGATTTTCCAGGAAGTATATATTTATCGAATAAAGAATATTCTTGTTTAATTTAATGACAGGATCTTCGATTGGCAAAAACAATGAAGTTGGGGAAAAATAATCGAACGACATTGGTTATTGACATAATCGAATGTTAAAGTTCAGTTTTAAACACCGGAAGGTAAAACGTGATACTGAAGAAAAAACTGCTTTTAGAGCAAGTTTGATTTGGTGATCAGAACCAGTATTAACTTCTTCACAAAGACAAACTGAACAAGCCATAAGTATTGGTATTTAAAAAAAAAAAAAAATATCATTTGACATTATATTTCTCTCTGGATGCTGCGAATTGTAAAAGAAGAATAATAGTAAAAGGAAACTAACTTACTGACATTTCGAAATCACTTAGATTTGAGTTAGTTTTGTGAGTGTGTGTGTGTGCGTTTGCAAATAGAGAAACTGGAATAAGGATGCCCTGTGTGGATACCCAAGGCATCCTTATTCCAGTTACCCTTTTTATTAAGTATCCAAAAGAAAGGCTTTTTACGCAGCTTAAATTAAGGAGACTAGAAATTTATTGAATATTTAACTAAGTAGTTAATTAGTGATGTAATGGAATAACTTGTCACTACGCTATAGATAATAACTACCTATAAGTATCTGTAAGTCAACAAAGTCCAGTTGAAATCGTTTCAGCAGTGCTGGTCGAGCTCTCTGCCTCCGAGCAGAGAGGAACATGGACGAGGCTATGCCGAAGAGCAGTGTCTCGTTCGGGGAGGTAGACCGACCCGATCCCGTTTAGGCGAGGTCTACGGCGATTTTTTTGTCCGAGCTTACGAGAAGAGCCCGGAACCGCAACCTGAGAAGACAACTGCCAAGTGCAAAAGTAACGGAAAAAATGTCCTGGAGAATGGACGGAAGTATTGAAGAGGGGAACGAGAGTTACATTCCCCTCCCACCTGCAGGATGTCCCAAAAAACAAGTCTAAAGAGCTCCCCGCAGAAGCAGAAATGCAACCAGCATCAGCCTCAACAAAAGGACAAAACAGAAGAAGCCGCAATTTGAGCAGGAGTGCCGTCTCCAGTCAAAAAATCGGATGACAAGGTAGCAAGGAGCCTTTCTTGTTCCCCTGTTAGGGCTCCACTTTCCCCAACACTCTTCCTTCTGACTCTACCCCCACCACTTCCAGAACTTCCCAAAAGAAAAGAGGCCATTCCCGAGAGGGAGGGGGAAATATGTCAAGTAGACAAGCAGGCTATGGAGCGGGGCCTTTCCTCTAAAAAAAAAAAAAAAGCATTACTAAGGCCCCTCTTTAAAATGACTTTGATCCGTGGGGTGTCAGTACGGGACCCTATAAATTTCCCCAAAGCCTCATGTGTCATAACGCTGATTAGGGACGTGTGGAGGGGATTAACTGTATAGGATCACCTTTGTGGGGCTCAGGAGGTCTTCCCAGTCATTAGAATGGTGAAGGTTGGATCATCTGAACTGAGGAAATTGCAAAAGTTTTGCGCCGAGAGGGTCCCTGTTATTCTCCATCCCACATTATACAGGGATCTAAAGTTAACACATCCCATGGACGTCGGAGGCATTGTCCTAGATTGTCGCATGACGACAGTGATGGGGACAGGAAGCCTGGGACAATCCATCGTGGTCCTTACTGCCGCAGATTTCCGTCCAGTCTGTGATTAGGGAGCGAAAGTAAAAAAATGTTTCTCAAGTTAGCTACTTTAAATGCGAAGGACTTGGGATCGGGGTAAGGCTACCCGCCTGCTTCGTGATCTCCTGTCTATCAGCGTAGATGTAGATGCGATCCAGGTGACACACTTTTGTTTGCGAAGTTGATACCGGGTCAATCATCCTAGGGAGGAGATGTGGACGTAAGTAGCTATCTACTCGGTTAGCCAGCTACCTGGATAGAATGTTAGTGAGAAGGGTCGATCTAGACTTATTAGATTGTCCCACGTTCCACTTGTTAGGCTATTCGTCTGTGCCCGGATGGCGTTAGTTTCTAGGCCTAGAATGGCTAGACACTGGAGGTTCAATTTTCCTTACTGGACAGGCGAGACTTCCAACAACAGCTAATTAAACTAGTGCATCGGGAATTAGTCGGGGAGGTTATTGGGAATAAGTGGTGGCAGAGGTTTAAGGATAGAATTAGGTTCTTCACCACCGAATATAGCTACCTGCTCGCACTAGATGAGGTTGATAAGGTGAAGACAACTTAAAGATAGTCTGTCCTGGGCGGAGGCTGGGAGATCTTCAAGAAATAAATTTAGCTAGGCAGGTTCTTGAGCGATTGACTAACGAGCGCTACAAAGGTCAAGCATAGGTTAAACAAGATGTTTAGCGGTGCTGGGAACATGGACGCAGAATTGCGCAAGGAAGAGACCCGTCGAGGTTCAGATCGTTACATTCGTGAGGTCAAAATCCCAGAGGGGCGTACTCTGAGGTCGACTAACGATATGTACGAGGCGTTTCGGCGGCATTTCGAGAGCCGATTTACCAAGGAGCCTGGTCTCAGTGGCGATGAGTTTCGCAGCTATTTGGCTGACTTTCCTCGGCTTGCGCCGACTGAAGCGAGTAGCTGCGAGGGTGAGATCACGGAAGGCGAAATCTACTTGGCATTGGAGAGGGCTGGCAGTGGCAAGTCTCCGGGACATCTTTGTGCCGATTTTGACTGCTGTGTTCAACAACTGGTTTCGGCAGTGGTCCATCCCCAGTCGGATCACCAGGGCTGTGATCACACTGATGAAAAAAGGCAAGGATGGAGGGCGGGAATTAGATGGTTACAGGCCCATAACTCTGCTGAACACAGAGGTGAAGATTTTGGCCAAGATCCTGACGGATCGTTTGCGCACAGTTGCCGAGAGTCTGTTGGAGCCCGATCAGACATGTGCTGTGAGGGGCTGAACAATTCAAAGCAACCTGAATCTGATCCACACGATCCTAGACGGTGTAAAAGACGACGATGATCAGTACCTGGCTGCTGACTTGCAGGCCGCCTGATTCCAACCCGACTTTTGTAAGTGTATTAGCCTCCTGTATCGCTACCCCAGGTGGGTTCGTCATGGTTGCCCACTGTCGCCCCTACTTTACGCTTTGGCGTTGGAGCCTCTCCTTCGCCGGCTAAGGGACGGGGCGAGCAGTCCAGACCTACGTGGAATCGATGTCCCTGATGGAGCTCGAGCCAAGGTTCCAGCATACGCCGATGACGTATACATTTTCGTAACCTCTCAGTAACCCTGAGTTATCGCTTACCTGGCGATTGATTAGGAATGTGCTATCTTTCAAAGACAGGATCTTCAGATGGGGCTGGGTGGATTTGCCCGACTGTCATCGATAGTTTTTTATAAACATAAAACATTAGGCAGCATATATTCATATACAAAGAAAAAATATAAAAAACTATCGATCCGCAGTACAAAAAAATTCCTTAAAAAAACTACTAAGATAAACACTATATATACTTAGTTCATGACATATTAACTGAAAACACTTGTAAAATAGAATACGTGGGTTTACCACATCACAAAATTTTTTTAAAAAAGCTCAAATAAAAAATTCTCACTTAAAATTTTGAAAACTTAGCGTTGCGACTTTGCACGTTCCGATATTGTACACAACCGTCAATAATAGCAGATTCTCAAAAAAACATCTTTCGGTCTATAATTATTTCATCTCCAAGTTTTAATTTTAAAGGAAAAAAATATGCCTGAGGATGAATAAAGGATTATTCGAAAGTACTAGCATTTTAAAAAAAAATAAACTGGAAACAACCAACAACAGTTTTATAAATGAGAATCACATCATTCTATGGATTAAAACAGTATTTTAATGCATACATTATATTCTACGAGCGATGTGATATCGCCAATAATAGCATTAATATTGCTGATTGATTCTATGCGGCATTATTTCTTTGTATATAAATACACACACACACACACACACACGGCCACATCAGATAAAAAACACCGGTTCCATACGATCACTGAAGTGAAGCAACGTTGAGCCTAGTCAGTAACTAGATGGGTGACCCCATGGGAATACCAGCTGAAAATAGTGTAACGACACGGACTTATTAATTGGAGAGCCGACTTCCAATTCCAGTTCAGTTCGTTATATTCACTTACTTGGGAAAGGTATGAATCTCCTTCTTCTCCCCTCCAGCTATGGGCTAATTAGTAAGTTTTATCACTAAATCATTATTTACCCAAAAAATCTTAAAATCTAAAAATATATTTATTGGCTTTAAATAGCCTAAAAATGGTTGGTAAGTCGTAGAAAATGAAATTATATATATATACACACCTGGCTTAAAGCAATCGGACGTCTAGCCAAACACACAGTCTGTGGGTGACGTATATTCACCAGTTGTTGCCTATTTATTAATGTCTTCGTACTTGATGTGTTGACATAAATTCTCACATGCTAGAAAACATGTTGTTATCAAGTGAAAGTCACATCAGTCATTATTTAAATAAAAGGATATCCTGTAAATTTTACATAAATCGCTTGGTTAATTATCATTTTTCATGTAAGAATGAAATCTGACATTGCGTGTCGTCTCATAATAAAAAGATAATATATTTTACGGGACAAATATTTATTTTTCGACCTTCCTTGTCAATGCACTTAAAGCATGACTCCATGAATCGAAGAATATGTCATAAAGATTTCAGAGCAGTATTTAATTAATAACACTCCGGCTACGGATTTCTTCATCCATCTTCCTTACAGCACCAGGTATTCCCAATCGAAACTGACCAGGCTCGACGTTACTTAACTCTGGTTGATTGTACGAGAATCGGTGTTTCAACGTAATGTGTCCGTGAGCCCAATTTTTGTAAACTTAATTTCGCAATTCTCGCTCTTGTGCATCCAAATTATCTCGGCTACCGTGTATTTAGATACACGAAGAAGGAATCCTCGACGTATTAAAAGAAACAGACACCCCTGCATTTTCTCAGAGTAATTTGACAGCAAATTAGTTTTGCAAAAAAGCGAATCATCTAATTGACCTACCGTCATCACCAAATTGAGACTAATCCAATTTCTTCATCTGATCGGCTTACTTTTATGGTAACCTCAGTGCTCCATAACACATCTGTTTGCTGTTGAATACTAACGTCATTAGAAGTAAAATCATCACCACAATTTGGCCAGACATTTCTATTTGTTTATTGCTTTCTCAAATCTGGAAAGTTCTGAGGATATATATTTTACGTATTCTTTGTCGTGCGTAATCATTGCAACACTTTCACCAGTAGACGTCAGCCCAGCCTTAGCTATTTCTGACATCAAATACTGTAAAATAAATGGCTGTTACTTAATTGCTCATATATCATTTCCTATGCGATATGTACGCCTCGAAGATGGTAGACACCCTGCGTGTTTGTCCAGGCTTACGGTCAGATAACGTTGAATCATCGGTTCTCGCACGATCATAGAAGTTAAATAATACCGAGTTAGGTCAGTATCTAGATGGGTAACCGCTTGAGGATATTAGGTGCTGTAAGGATGGATGTGCGTGCGGTGTGATTGATAATGGCTCAGAATTAAATTCGAAGAGCAGAGTTCCCTTTATTGCCATGTTCGTTATATTCAATTAGGTGCAAATAACCTTGGAGAAGCTATGAATCCGCCTCTTCCGCACTCCCCCCCTCCAAAAAAAAGGTGGGTGTTAAGACTTGTATCAATAAATAATTATTTTCTCTAAAAAATATTTTTACAATCTAAAAATGTTCTCTAGTTTTAAACAATCTGCAGCAGGTTGATAAGCCGCAAAAAACAATCAAAATCAGTTAGTTGCTTGGAACTGCTATATAATCTCAACACATTTGGGAAGGACATTAGAATAATTCAAAACCCATACTGGCAGCAAACCGCCTACATACGATTAAAAAATGAATTCCATAAATATACAAAAATAGAAAGATGTTTAAGACAAGGATGTGACTTCTCATTGGACTTATTCAAACAGTACATGCGATTCTGAGATAATTAGAATTCCTACCAGGATTCATTTTATGGCGTCTATAAATGGATATCTGCTCGGATTGAGGAATCTGAGAGCCGAGTTCGAATTCCAGTCGAATCTATTACATTCACTTACATGCTAATACCCTAAGTTTCCGTACATAACCTCATTTCTGTGGTAATTGGTCAAGCCAAGAGCTAAGAGGCAGTAGTTCTTTTGCAACTGACGTGAATTGAGTTTACTGTCAATGGTCTGCAAGATCAGCATAGTAACCAATGACGTTTGTTGATGCAATGTTGCATGTACATGGCTAAATAAAGTGTATTTCTGTTTTATTCCCTGAAGAATGAATTAATTTGATTTTTCGTTTACTTTTTCTTTCTCTTTTCTTTCTCTTTTCTATTTTTTTTTTTTTTTTTTTTTTTACTTACTTTTTTAATGTTCAATTTGTCTTTCACTGATTTTTCTTTTTCTCTTGATTTCTTTTCTTTTTCTCCTTGTTCTTTCTCTCTTTTATTTTCCCTCTGGTTTTAATATAATCCGATCTTCCATGCTACCTCTCCCTCACACATATACACTATATTTTTATCTAGTTCTGATTTTTTTTCTTTCTTGCTCATTCTTAATCTTTCATTCTCCAACTCTTGCGAAAATAAACAGATCTAGAAACCATTTCAAAAAACCAAGATGGCGCGTATACAAGGATGCTACGTGTTACATTGAACCTATTTCAGAAAATTGTACGCTACAAAAATAATCAACTTTTTGACCATCTAACCCTCATTTCACAAGCCGGGAGCTTTTTCTCAAGATTTCCTGGAAAATCCTGGAGAAATTAAATGGGCTTATCACTAACATTTTCCGGTGGATATCAACGTAAGGACAACAAGTATTGGTCGTGCATTCAAACAATTTCCTTATCCCACTTATGATAATTCATTTGAGTCCAAAAATGGAAACAACGCTATATAAATTTTGACCATTTTATCAGCAGGCAAATACTTTGCGTACACAAGAAAAAGTCATCACATATACATAAAATAAGTTTCAATATTAAAGGCTTAAAAATACAATTGCTGTCCAAATTTCCTGATATATAAGAAGGGTGTTTCATTAAGATGGACCAAAGTCAGCAGTAATGAAATCAATGTTATTGGTGAAAATGTATTTATTTCTCTATAGGGTCATGTTATTTAAATCATAGCAATTATTTGTGAAAAATAATATCGCCCAAATGTCCGACAATGCTTCGGCGGCACACCTCCACTCGATGGTCAAAAATTTTGATGAAGTCTCTGCATAGTTACTCCTCGATCTCACCAATATGCCTTATGTCATCCTTCAGCTGTTGAATTTTTGTTGGCATAGACCAGGGGTCGGCAACTCATTCGACCCCGCGGGCCGGATCGTGTTATAATGACGGGTCGCCGGCCGGACGAAGGCCATTAATGAAAAATTAAGGAAAATTACATATGCAGACCCCTGTCAACCTAAATATTTAAAACCACAATGAAAATAAACATGGAGAAATCAGAAAAACAAAAGAAAATCTAAAATTAAAAAAACATCTAACAAAAATTACATTTCCTCAAGGAACGTCAAAATACTTCAAAGTGAAAAAAATCAACTGAAGTGAAATGGATGAAATTATGACGTGTTGGTTTGAAACTGTTATTGAAAATTGTTTCACAACCGAACCACACACACACACACACACACACATATCAAACAAAAACGAAGCACATATACCCATATATACGAGTACAAATAGTTGCAAACATATACACTTACGTACGTACACATGCGGTATCATCCACACATTCATGAGGCATGTATATATAATGCGCGTATGTTTAACTGTCTTTAGATTTCTGCTACCTCGCATGTCAGTCCCTCCCTGGCCTCTTTCACTTTATCGTTCCTTTCGCTTCTGTTATCTTTTAATGTAGCCAAGGGTCATAACAAATATGTATCCATTATTTGACATTAAACGTAGGCAACGCAACTTGGTAAAATAAGCCTCATGAAAGATAACTGGCAGATAGTCTAATTCGAAAGCCTCGTCTCTCATGGTAAAAATAGTCATTGGTAATCAGGCTCGCGGGCCGGTCAAAATGCCTTCGCGGGCCGGATCCAGCCTGCGGGCCGTAGGTCGCCGACACTTGGCATAGACCTTACTTTTGAGATGATCCAAAAAGAAGAAATCTAAAATTGCACGATCGTGGTGACAAATTGACTTCGCTGTTTCGAGAGATAATGCGACCTGAAATCTTCACATTCAAATTCTGTTTGAACGTCCATTTGCGTAATATGCCTCGATAACTTTAACACGTTGTTTGATTGTTAATCTTTCCATGATTGAAATTTCCAAAGACTTAATTTGTTAAATCTAAAAGAAAAAAAATCTTTAGACGCTTAAACTTAATTCACATTTAAAATCTTACCAAGTGATTGAAACACAAACACGCACTATATATATATATATATATATATATATATATATATATATATATATATATATTTCACAGACATATACTTCCCTAATCGTGACAAATAAACTAGCACAAACTAACAGATCTCTTTAGTAATATAGAAAAAAAAAACAAATTCCTCGAAAGTAAATTTCACTTCAGGTTTCATTTTTCATTTCATCTTTCGTTGAGAAAAGAGACAGGGGTTTCTGAAAATTCCGATTTTAAAATCTTTCACAAGTTTCCATTTGGTCAAGAGACATACTAATATATAAAAATATTAGTTTTATTATCAATATTATGTTTTTGTTTTTTATTTCTATCATCGGTATATATATATATATATATATATATATATATATATATATATATATATATATCCACGCACACACGGGGTGTGAAAAAATCTCGAAATCAAATAACAAAGGACATGAAATGTTATCAATTTTTGGCATCTTTCAATGTGGCTCTCATTATTGCGAAATTATTTTCTACAAAATGTCTTCTGTCTGTCTTTCGCCTTTTCATCTTTGCATCATGCGTGTCTTTTAAGCAACAAGCCACTTAGACCGTGTGCAAGAAACTTTTCAAATTCTCCAATC